TCTCCAGAAAAACTTTTTTAGTTAGTTAGAAGGACAGTAATGCAATAGAAATACAGCAATGCAGCAATATGGTTTGTCTCAGTCACTTTTTTTTTTTTTTTTAATGATGGTGCTTAGGTGGCAAATGTCACAGCAGCTTCCTTAATGTAAATCAGGCTCTTTTGCATTCCTTGTACTGCCCAGCATTTTTTTAATGCTCGTAAGAAAAACTATGACCTTGTGTTTGCAAACTTTCTCCATATTCATTATATCCTTTGAAATGTTCCAAGTTCTCTTGCATCTTGTGACATTGAATTCTGCACATTTTATAGTAGAGTTCAACTTTATGCCTTCCTTTTGGTGCCTTCTCCCCTTCAGAAGTTTTTCTTGCCTCCGGAATAGGCTCACAGGGACTTCTACTCTGGCAGGCTTGTATTTGCGGAGCTCCCATCTGCAGAGTTCTCTGGCTAGCATCCATTTTTCAGTGTGTTCAGATTGTTCTACCAGGAAATGTGAGCCCTATTTGTAGGAAAGATTTTATGGTCATTCAGTTTACGGAATTTTGTTCCTAATGCTTCATCTGGTATTTTCATAATCCTGAACATCAGTGCAACAGAAGAATCTCTGCAGTACCCTGTTCAATATCTCTTTCTATGAAAGGTGCTTGAAAGAGCACCAAATACTGAATTGTAAATATACCAATTGATATTTATGCATCCAAAAAGAAAAGCACTCTCTTGAGACCACTGCAGCTCTGAAGAAAGAATTTTGATTATAAGAATTTAATCCAGGAAGCTACACAGGGACCTGGGGCAAGCTGGAAATTTGGTCCTTGTCCTTTCTTTTCCTTAGGTTTTTATGCATAAGTGGTGGTGTCAATGGTTACTAATTGAAGGTGTCAATATTTATTAATCTGTTACCAGGGTCTATTAAGCAGCTCTGAGTCAAAAATGCTGTTAAAGATTCCATAACCAATTAAAGAAACTTTTATCTCAATAAAACAGTATCATGGAATTAGGTTTTACTCATTTCAGTATAGAATCATTAAATTAGTGCTTTCAAATCGGCATTTCAGCAACACCAATTTATCAGGTAGTTTTCTAAAAAAAAAAAAAAAAAAAAAAAAAACACTATTAAATTACTACTGTTTCAGCTATTTCTCTTCAAATCTTTAACTTCAAATATGTTTGTAATGAGAAAATAGCAGACTAATTCATTATATGTGCTTATTAACTATTTTTTTCTTTCATCTGTTGTAAATCATTGCTATGAAAAGGTTACCAGTCAGTCTTTACACAGGAGACCCAACTGGAAAGTGCTCCTAAATTACAGGCAAAAGCTACTTAATTCATTTCTTGATCAAATCAAAATCTTAAGTCTACAATCAAATAACCATTTCAGCAATGATTTTAGTTTGCTCTATGAATGCGTAAAAAGTTTGAATATTACTTAATTAGGTTAGGAATTGGATGATTTTCAGGAAAACATTTGGGCATTTGAAATGAAATGTTGTTATTTGGAATTGAATTTTAAGTGGACCAAAGAATGAGGCCCTGAGTAGTCCTTTAAACTTTCTAGAACGTGATCCTAAAATATTGTTCTGTACTTAGATGACATATGCTTAGTTTTTTTCAGTAGCAGAAAGTAGTGTCCCTCTGAGGTGCAATGTGATAATTTGGGACAAGAATACACAGAAGTCTTGTAATCCACTTCAATGAAGTGTGATAGTATGGTTTAGCTGCATCCATCAGGCTTCCTATCATTACTCACCTCACTCTTGAATATCACTCACAGCCTCTCATATATCTTTTGTTATATCCTGTGACTCAGTCCCTTATGTCTCACACATGTTTTTCTCCAGTCCTCCATATTTTGCTCCCTGTTGTCTGTCTCTTTAAATTTTCTTTTCTGAAATTTCAGGCATCTCCATTTCTCCATTTCCCCTACATGCCCCTTGTTTCAGACTCCTTGCTTCCCTCCGACCCCTTTGTCAAACGAAGTCCCCCTGCCCACAAGAAGTTAATTATAGTTTGTCTGCTTTTGTGCTGAGATCACTGGAATTGCTGCTGTGAGCTGGGGATGAGTTGGCTGGACTTGCTTCTTTTGATTCCTTTCTTGTGACCAGAGCAATGGGTTTCTGCATCTGCCCTTTTCTTCCTTTGGCCCTTCCTTGGGAAGGGCTCTTGAGTTTGAAAGCAACACCTGGTTAGAAATTTCTTGGAGGCTTCTTGAACAAGTTGCAGGGAGTATTTTTGACTCAATTTTTCCATCTGTTCAATAGGGATAAAATTATGCTGCATCACCTGAGTAGTTCTGCAGTGTTTAGATATTCAATGAATAAAAGCTACAGTAATTTTTAGATAGTAGAGGCAATTTGGGGTTATTGATATTGGCTCCCTATGCAGCAAGGAAACTATTCCCAGGGTAAAATGTGGTTTAAAAAACCTGGAACCTTTCTCTTGCTCAGAAACTGAGGATCATCATCACCATAGCATCTGTTTAGTGTATTCTGTAATTAGCATTCAGAGATTACATTGATTTTCCATTAAAAGATCACAAAAGAAATTCTGAATATGTTGAAAATGATGAGAATAGTTCTAACTACTTTTAAGACGTAGCAAGGTGCTAGATTTTGATTGTATTTCAAATTTTTGACTACAAAGGTTATTATTCCCTGTTTCTCCTGTCCTTAGATTGTATGATCTGTATTTCATTTAAATAAGGATAACTGCCCGTATGCCTCGTAGGACTAATTCAGAATAAATTTATACAAGCGGTTTTATCTTTAGGATTTACTTTGCTTGATTTCCCAATTGAATTTGTGTTGAGTGTTTTGAAATATGTTGGCTTGTGAATAGTATTCCCTTTTGAGATAATAAAACTTTAAATGTGTACTAAATCATGAACTTTAATATGCCTTTCATAGTCTATTATACATTTGTCAATAAATTGAATATGGCACAGGGTTCCAAATGTTGCATTTTCATGTTTTACTGTCTAAAAGAAATCAATATCTATGTGCATAAAAGAACAGGAAGAAATTTTATCTAAGAAATTAATATGTGTTTTTGCAGAACTTAAAAATTGCAATTATAGTGTACTGGATTCCTTAATTAGTTAACTATGGGTTACGGTTTAACAGGTAATATTGAACTGCATGATTCACTGAATCACATGTGCAAAGATAACTGCTTAGTTAAATTATGATTTCTATATTAAACATTTTTTTTTGTAGTCTAGCTGAAAGAAATTTAATTTTGGGACTGTAGACAATTTCAAACAATATACTGGTCATGAGAATAGGCAGAAAGGTTATATCTGAACAAAGAATAATTAAAATAATTATTATATTAATATAATTTTATTCTACTATTACAGTATGTTTTTCTATAGTAATTTACAAAAATCATGCAAAATACTTGCATTTCATATTTTCCATCACTTTTTTCAGAGGTATACTCAGTTATTATAAGACAGTCTTGTAGGTGTCTAATTATCTTCATCCTGGCTTTATTTTCAAAATTAAAATCTGTATACTTCTTGCAGACTTATTACAGGATCTTTATCATTACATGATCTGAATTCCTGTTGCCAAAACCAGTTGTATTTTTGTTTGTGTGCATATGTAATTCGTACAATACTGTCAGTGTCTAACATTCTTAGATGTGCCAATTTTGGAATTATAGTCTTCATTTTTGGTTATAATCATGAAACATGATTATAATCATGAAATGATGCACAGTAATAAAAAAATATAGTTGTTATCCAATAGAGTCTGATTTTATGAATATTTCTTTCAGTGAAATACTATAATTTGACAGACGTATATCTGTTAGAAAATGTTGTATTTTGTTACAAGAAGACAGAATCTTCTTGTTTTTTGAGAAACCAGGTGTTTCTAGAGATGAGGACCTTCTTAAAGACCAAACTAAAGGAAGGCTACATCGACCAGACATCAGTCAATCTCCTCTAAAATACCATGAGTCCTTAATAAAATTTTGTATTTTGTCCTAAGGACTCAGTAAATCTAGAAGAGAAAGGCCAGGTGAATGATTCAGCTTAATTTATGATGCAAAATACTGAGATTATTAACATGCATATGACACATAAACATGCCTACATGCATGAGAATGAGCAAAGTACAGATTCTAATGAGGAAGCTAAGGAAAACTTTACAGATTCAGAGACTCTGGACCTTGAGATTTGATGCTTGGCTGATAGTTTCTGACCTGTGCTGTTTCAGCATTTTTTAAAACAGATAATTTCTGTAGAGGTTATTCCCTGGTAATGAATGAAATCTGAGATTTCAGTAAGTATATTTCACTTCTGTATGAATTTTTCCTAGAGAATGTGACTATTTAGCATATAATTGGTAATATGCTCATGAAATAATTGAGTGGAAAAAACCCTACAGAATCACAAAAGCTACAGCTGTGTTAAATTATACTTAATGTCCTATAGAAGCAGAAAGAATGAATTGTGTATATTTTATAAACAATAAGATTTCTGGTTTATTTTTCAATATAATTTTTTTTAGAAAGTAAATTAAGTTTCATACTTTGAATAAAATTATGTTATGCAATTCTGATGCTACAAAGCCAATTTACGAAGTTGAAAAACTGTGTTGAATACATAGACATCAATTTTGTAGTGATATTGAATTATTTTTCCCTTTGCTCACTGGCCAGTAGGATACACTGGAAACCATGGTAACAAAAAGCACTACTGTGGTTGCCCCGGAGTCAGCTTAAAATGAGCAGGCTATGTTTTTCTTGATTAATATAACAACAGGACAGAAAGAGAGAAGGAGGGGGAAGAAGGGAGAGAATTAGATTAATGACCTGCAGTAACAGAAGCAGTGAATGTACAATCAGAGATGTACCTGTGGATCCTGGAACTTCTAGTACTATTGTAAAATGAATGTGAAAGTATTATATTGTGAAGCTTTAAAGAGTAAAGGAGGTACATAAGTTCAATGGTTTGACTTAAAATTATTTTCTTACATGTCTATGTTTTTGCAGGTTTATATTAGAATAAAGGATGATGAATGGAATGTGTATCGAAGGTATGCAGAATTCAGAAGCTTACATCATAAGTTACAGAATAAATACCAGCAAGTAAGGACTTTTAATTTTCCACCAAAAAAGGCCATTGGAAACAAGGTAATTAAAATAACTCACAGTATTTGAAAGAAACCTTTCTTACACACACACACACACACACACAAAGTGGGGTGGTTATGATAAATAATTTTTGCAACTGCTATATGGGCAAAATATGCAATATACTTCTAGAAACCAGTATAGAGTGAGAAGTGATCAAAGTAATTCATCTTTACAAGTAGGAATGATCTGAAAATTAAATTTAACTATCATAAGTCAAATATTTGAGATTTAAATCATTCTTGTGACTATAAAAACTTTTTTACAATGAACCACTGAGTTTATAATAAACTGATTATAAAATCAGCATTCCTTACGTTAACCAAATTTTTTTCTTTTTATATCTGATTTTCTCATTTTACATATTTTTTGCCTTCATATCACTGTTCTTATATCAAATATCTAAGTACCTATCATAAAGAACAGTTCAGTCATCAAAGGAAAGCTGAGATAACAATTAGAATACCCAAAGATTTTCGTGACATATTTGGCTTAAGACCACATTAATTCTTGTATTGTTAAAATGCCAGAATCATTCTAATTATATCTGTGACAACTTCGTCTGTGGAAGAAAAATCGCCATCATTAATTCATACAACGTTATTTCATATGAAATAAATTTTCCAAAACAAATAGAAAAAAATGATGTTTGCAGATTTAGTGGCATTCAGACTTGAGTGAATATGGATTGTGAATGTTTATAGATAGTAACTCTGCTCTGAGTTAAAATGAGTTCCCAAGTGTTCCATAAAAATGAGTAGGTGAGCTTGGCACGCATGACATAAAATGAGTAGTAATGCACATAAACTGGAGTAATAACTGATATATGTTTATATGGAATTCACCAATAAAGTTGTAGATCTGTTTGCTTGGCATAAATATAGTCCAGAGTTAATGCAGTGCGTTGTCTACTAACCTAATAAGTGAAAGCACTTAGAACTTTTCTGCTTTTTCATGTGTTAGAAGATCAAGCACTTTTCATTTCTAGTGGCATTTTGTAATTACAAACATTGTATTTTCCTCTTTGTTACATAACTTATTCTCTTTTTTGAAGTGATATCAGCCTCCTCAATAAATTAGGAAAGCCTTCCTTTAAGCTTATTTTATAGTCTTTCATCCTAATTACTTTAAATACTAATTGAATTATAACTTCAGTTACATAATTGATATGTAGAAAACAGTTGAGCAACTTAAAAAAACTTGCGTTGCTTTTTCTTTCAGTGATTGAGTCAAAGTTCCCCCTTAATTGTGCATAATCCCACAATCACTTTCCATTATACCAGGTCTTAGAAGAAGTATCTGCTCTTTGGGTGCCATCTATTGTACTCCTAGAAGAGTACAATAATGCTGAGACATTAGCCAACTGTAAGATTGTCATTGAGGCTGCCCAGGGAAGTGGTTGGAGGTATTAAGAAGGCATGTAGATGTGGTGTGTAGGGAAGTACTTTAGTGGTAGATTCGGCAGTGCTAGGATAAGGGTTGGGCTTGATGATCTTGGAGGTCTTTTTAAACCTAAGTGATTCTATGATTCTGACTTTCAGTATAGGATGAGACGTTTATGCAGGATCTTACACATTAAGGTATTTGTTAATAAACATGGGAAGAGATACTGTCACTACTAATTGCATTTATTTTAATGCTGCTTCTTATTTTTAATTTTTATGGGCATTGTTGCCTGTTTGATGTGTTGCTAAATTTCAGAAGAGTTTTTTTTCTCTCTAATCTTAGTTACATTTTTAAAATAGAATAGCAGCTCTCTTCACATTTCTAGATTAATCAATACAATCTTAACTTAGTACCTAAAGAGCAATTTTGTAGCTAAATTCTGCTAACAAAAGCATCTCTGAGTTTAGGTCAGTCTATGGCTTTCATACTTTCTACAAATCCTCAATATCTTTAGGTGCCCAAATAACATATTGATAAACAGTCCTCCATGTGTAAATTCATAATCACAGCTAGTTCACAAGTTTTGGAAAATGGTGTTGTATGCTTTTAAATCCACCAGGCCTATATCTGATTGATATTACTCATTGCATCTCTGCAGAAGACTTCGCTTGTGAGGCTAGTGAAGGTGATGTGCTTACTTGAGACTGTAGTGGCATTGAAAGAGCTGGTGTTGAAATCAACACCTTCCTTGATACCCACACTAAGTTTTGTGTTTAGGTACATGCCTCAGGTTTAGGGAACCTCCAGGACAAGAGGACTATGTTCTACAGGATGACCTAGAACCATTACTGCATAGTAACAAAACACTGTCCGCTGTTTTACTATGCAAAAAATTGGAGCACAGAGGAGGAAACTTAGCAGAGGACAGTAATGCAGAAAAGACTATGGAGAACTATTTATTTTCATTCTTATTTTCTTGCCTACTCCAATAGGAATCAGGGATATCATGTTCAAATACAAAATTGAAGTTTGACAGAGAAAATGCAAAAATCAGTATTTCAGCTCACTTGGAAAGTGAGAAAATGAAATATTTTTTAGTGCTGATATGTTGTCATCAAGTAGCAGTAAAATCTGAAAATATTTAACAATTAACAAATTGTTAAAATATTTAACAATGTTTAACAATTATAAGACAATAGATTAAGAATCTAGTATTCTTATTAATAGTTTATTCTGTTTTTAACGTATTTGTGCCTTCTGCTTGTTAGCATTAAGGTAGGACAAAAGATCTTAGAGTTCATTTTTATGATCTTTCAACAAATTATGTAGGATTAGAAACTGGCTTTAACACTTGAGGAAACATGTTTAACGTACAGAAAACTGTCATAAAAAAGTCACCAATTAGTAGAAAGTGAACAGAGAAGGGGAAAGAATACTGCTGTGGACAAGTAACCTTTTTTCAATTACAAAGAAGTGTGTTTATTTGGCTTTCAGGTTGTTAACCTTACTTCCAGTGTCTCAGTTTAATTTGCATGTAGCAAATCAGAACTAATGTAAAACAATGAAAAGAATAATTCGATTTATAAGTGTTGCTTTGAATCAAATTTGAACAGTTAATTACTAAAGTGGGTAAACTGATAGGAAATCGTAACAGTAATGCTTGTAGAACTTGATATATTTTCTTATTTACTATAGTCCCCTTACTGTGTATTTTCTACTAATGATCTTTCAGTGCTGCTGCCAAGTAGTTGGCGAGATCTTTATAAGTAGTCCTTGCAAGAATAAATATTCTTCCTTCAGTTTATTGATATTTTGAGCAAAACTGAGAAACATTTGTTCTCGTTACATGTGTAAGAGAAATGTCATGGTGGAGTTACTCATACATGTTTGTACTTTGCTTTTTTAAAAACTGCAAATCTTTTTATTCAAAACTTATGAACTGTATTTTTATCATTTGAACCATTTGTTGTGTAATTTTAAAACATTCTGTCCATGTATCGGCGTGGTTGGTAGTTTCCTAAGTATTTTATATGCAGCTGTATATACCAAGACTTGTAATTTCTAACCATGGCTTTCTTGCAAGAAATAGATCTCTGCATTTCAGTTTGCCTTCAGGTACTTTGGATCTTTTGAATTCATATTTCCATTATTGCAGTTTAAGTTTTTGTTGTGACTTCTGCCTTCCTGCCAGGTTCTTAAAGCCAAGGGACTGGTTTGGTTCCACAAGCATTTCTAGGTCTAGAGAATACTGAGTTTGTGAGTTCACAAAGACAAACTTCATGCAATCATAACACTTGATTGCAAAGGGATCCCTGTATGCATTTGTATAAAACTATAGCTTTTTTTTTTTTTTTTAATTTAAGAGGAATTTTAATTTTCTTGCAGTTAGTTTCTGACCTCTGTTGGTGCTGTGTTGGTGCCTTCCTTCTTGAACTGTTGCTTTCAAACTAATGGTTAAGTAATAATACGTGAGTACTTCCTGAGCCAATTATTCATTTTTTTTGAATGTTGCAATGTCCTTAAAATCTCAGCTGCTACTTCATTAAGTGTTAGAATCTGCCCAATGCAGAATGGGATTTAGTAACTGGATAAACATCTAATTATCCTCTTGCAAGAGTATTATTGTCCTAGTAGAGGACATATCAAAATAGAAATGATTCTTTGCTCCAGTGAGAGATGTGAATTCAGTGATTGTCTAAGTATGTAGAAATTGAATCAGGTAGCTTTCTGCTGAGTGCTGACTTGACTGCATGATATCCTTTTCTTTCCTTTAAAATATTGGATATCCAATATGGAAAGAATACACAGCACTTTTCTGAGATTAGAAGAGTGACTTTGCCATGACTCCTTGACTGCATAGGAAGAGCAATACAGAAATTTAAAATAAGTTTTCTGTCTAGGAGAAAATGTTGGGAGCAGCATCATTCATCATTTTAGCCTGTGCAGCTGAAGTCTGTGAGCTCTCAATAGCTTGTTCCATGCCCAAACATCCGTTCAATAAAGTAGATTTGTGTCCCTCTCACCCCAGTGACTAAGCTAAATGGTAGGCTGTTCTGTGTATGTAATTATTTTAAAAGTTTGTCAGTATTATGTGTATGTATCTTAAAAAATCTATTCATATATTCACACTACTACATAAATATAGACACGTATGGCAGCGTTAACGGCAACATTTGGGATACAGGTGAAGGTAGTTTCTAGAATATATTTTAATTCTGCAAATTCTATGCACCAGGGAATTTATCTTTTTCCTGTTTGTCAGTGCATGAACAGTGCAGACGGCTTCTTTTTTTTTTTTCCCTGCCAGCACAGCTATTCTTCTTCTTATTTTTTTTTTCTGAACAATGTCTGGTCTGTTTGCATGTTGCTGAAGATGCCGAAAAGATATAGACAGTCTCCGGAATAACTGTGTTTAGGGAAAAAAAATCTTAGGGAAGGATGTAATTTCACTTTAGGCTTGGGTGGCTTTGCACCCTGATTCAGCAGGGTACTTCAAGGCATCCTAAAATTTAAGTACATTTGGTTTGCATTGAAATCAGAAGTACAGATACATGTGCTTTTGTACTTTATGAGGTTTAGTAGATCAGAGAAACTATTTTTCGTTAAAGTAGTTT